TGAGTGGTGCACTACTGCTACTAGTGGTGAGAAAGTGCATTGCACCTTATTCAAAGTCAATGTGGTCCCACGGCCCTCTGCGGCCCAAACTTGTTCTTTTGAGGCCCTCAAGGTGGCGCTCACGGCCCATAGCAGTGGATTTAGTGTCCACTTGATGCAAATTGTATTAGAGAACAGATGGAAGAAAGTAAAGGCTCAGAATGGGTGAATTAATTGTTTTTTCCTGAATCTTCTACCAAAAGTTGATCACTCAGAGATTCAGAGAGGCCATTAGAAATGATTGACAGCTCTGTTGTATGTCGGCCCTTCCATCAGTCTGTCCATCCTTCCTCATCTTTTCCTGCTTGTCTGCATGAGCACCAATCAGCTGCCTGTCTTTCTGCTGTCTGRCTCCAGACATGTTTTTATTTGTATTAATTACAGTCTTGTCTTCATTCACAGGCTCTGCTCTAGAGAAGAAGGGAGGGAAGGAGTTCACTGAAGCTCTGCAGGAGCTGAAGAAGAAAAACGGTCCTCTGGAGGTGGCTGGCGGTGAGATCACCATCCATCCATTATCTTTACCTACTTTTTCCTTTCCTTGTTGCCACTGCCTCGTTTGATGCTTTAAGTACTTTTGGCAGCATCGACATCCAGAAGTCTTTCAGAGAGTGATCCTACACACGTGGTTCAGCATTTCTTCTGAAGTTTAAGATGAACCAGACTGAATGCACACTTAGTTTTAGTCCTCCCCAGACATGCTCACTTTAGGTGTGGCTGGGTTGTGTTCYGTGTTTTACAGTTTTCTCAAAGCCACCCTTCCTGTAGATTCACATTTCCTGATGGCTCTCCCAGCCTTGGCTGCAGAGATGTGTTGATGAGGTGTGCCTGAGMTTTCCCACATGTGCTGATGGTTTTGTCATTAGAACGTTAAAAGGCCGAGTCCTGGTCGTTGTGTGTCGTTGTAATGAGGAAGTGCTTCTATCCTAAAGGTCTGACCTGTGAAGTCTTCRCTTTGTAGAGATCTCCAGTTTTCATTCATGGTGACACTTGTTTTACCTTCATCACTGATTCCCTAACAACACTGTAATTATTGGATCATTTTAGGGTTATTATGAAAACCTAAAACATTTGATCTACCATATTTATTCAAGTATAATACGTAAAATTAAATCCATGAAACCATCGATAAAGTTGGGGGGTAGTACTATAC